TCTCTCTTCTATTTATTTATAGATGATCCATCTTTCATCTATGAGAGCGACAAAGAAGGTTTGTTGTCAGACAACAGCTGCATGAGGAGAGAGAGCAGCTCGTTTGCATTGCTGCAGTGTCGCTGTGACAGAGACCAGATGTTCACTGTGATTGTTTAGTGATGTGTTTATTCCTATTCTGTTGCTCATCTAGTTGGAGCTGAAAACTGTCAGCATTCATTCTGAACAAAGAATAATGTCCCTCTATTCCAAAATCGGACACTTAAAAGCTCTACATGTATTTATTTTCCATTAACAGGCAATAATGATTTGCCTTGACTGCCAAAATCCTTAGACCTAGTAGAATCCTTGTAAATTTAGAGTCCTGGCAAAAAATATCAGCACCTCCGCATTTCAGTCAGATAACACACCACTTCTCCCGGAAAATTGTTGCAATCACAGATTCTTTTGTGTGCAGGGGTACCGGTAGTTATGGCCATGATTGTATAGCCTTGACCAGATCAAGAAAAGAATGAACAGAACAAAGAAAGGAGTCCAACAGTCTTCATCTTATGCTCAGTATGTTTTAAGGAATGTCAGCTTTCTTTACTGCTCTGTCACAGATTAGGAATTGCATTTACAAAGTGAATCTAACAAGCAAGACAGCTTCTCTTAAAATTAGATCTGAGAGACTAACTCACTGAGCCGAGTTCCTCCGATGAGAACATCCAGCTCTCCTCCTTACAGGTTTATTCCTGCCTTATTCCTGTCACCAGTTCAGAGGCTTAAAAATAGGTTTTAAAACAGGTTGGGAATATTCTTATTAAGCATCTGAATTCTCACACTTGCACCTAAGTCTTCATTAACACACAAACGTACAAATCAGGAGAGACACACAATAATCTCTTGCCCCTCTGACCCCCTGTGTAATTACGTTTCCATTTTGACAGACACAGTTGAGAACATCAATCTTTGCTTGTGCTGAACATTAACTTGTTACCAGTGGAAAAAAAATATAGGAATTGCCTGAGAATAGTTTTTGGATCAATAAATGTCTTCTGCAACACACTTGCAAAGAAGAACAGAGTTGTCGCTTCGCTTTTTGTCTGTTTAGTTTGGTGTGAAACTTGCATTACCAGTTCACTGAACTGCCGTCAGACCTGTAAATGTTTAGCTTTGATCCTGAAATAGAATCTGAAAATATTTTCCATTTCAAGAAACAAAAATATCTCAAAATACTTATGGCTGAATATAACGAATGACCAGAATTCAACCTGGCACCATGGAAACATTTTATAACAGTCCTATATTTGACTCCAGCACAATACATTTGTTTCAGCAAAGGCAATTTAATCTTTTACTTTCAATTAAAAAAAAAAATTTAGCAATCAACTATTTTCTATAGAGACATCAGTCTTGCTCCAATAGCTTCAACCAATATGCAGATAACTTCAGTTTCACCGGATTAGAAAATTGTGACATTTAAGCTGTCTCAAGGAACAGAAAAGACTGTCATTTGTATGTGCACACTTTTATTATTTTTATAAGAAAATAAATTTCTGTCACATTATACTAATATTAAACAACAAATAAACAGAGCATGATTTCACCTATGTCCAGTTTCATAGTTGTAGTTCATGCAGCATAAAACATTTTAATGCACTGAGAACGTCCTTTTGTATGAGCATAGGAAGTTTCTCACTGGACACAAAACAGAGAAATTAAATGCAAGCTGCATGACGGCCAAAAAAATAAACAGATCCCCTACATCCAGGGATGAAATGATGTGCTGTTAAAGAGAACAGGCACTTTGGGGTAAACTGCAGCCTCTGCGCGATGCAGATTTCAACACAAACCCTCTTTGACTGGCAGGTTTGGTACAGAGGGCCGAGTGCTCTTCATTCAACCTCCCGAAAATCCTCAGTGAAGCCAGTCACGGATGAGTTCTGCTGATCAAGTACTGACAGTAATTAGCATTTTTATGCACTGCAAGTTTGTATCACCAAACAGTGCTGCTCTCGCCTGCAAGTTGTCAGTGACTGTATTTGTAGCACGCTAAAGTAAGACATTTTTAAACCTCACTGGTTCAGTAAGAGTTGAACATGTGCATTAAAGCCCACCTGATACGTCAACATGGTGAATATTATTGACTGATTTTACCGTAGCCTGCCTGAGATAAATCGGAGAGCACTGACAAGTTTGTCAGCTGTAAAATACAATTCAGTATCTTAGGCTTTTTTTTTTAATAACCAATCTATACATACATATAAACTATATGCATAACATATTGGATATTTCAACTCAAAACATTAATGTCTGCCTTCAGAATCCCAGTATAAGTAAAGCCCTAATCGGCAGTTATTTTAAATCTTACTGCCTCTCACCAAGTACATGATGGGACAAACTTCAACCATGACCCCCATCAAGTACAGGTGCATATACAATAACAGAAGTCCCTAAAAACATGAACCACATGTGACAAACACATTCTGATCAATGGGATTTTTACAATAAACACATTAAATGATGACATCTTTAGGGTTCTTCAGATTTGGGTGAAAAATTAACTAAAATATCTCCTGGACATTTGAAAACCAAAAACCTTGACATGTCTAAATGGCCTCAAACAAGCTAATCTGTACTGCAATTTCTTGGTACTTATCTGGAAATATACATCCTGAAACTGATGTATAATATTGTAGAACTTAAAACGATAGGCCTTTTGAAAGATGCTGACATATAGGCAGTATTTTAAAGGACGTGAACAATCAAGCAAACATTAGAAATAGTATGGTATAACAGAATTAGAGCCAACTCATACAGGCATGGCTGATAATAATGACTGATTTTAGCTGAGCACAGACCCAGAAGCATCACTTAGATACTGTATTCACTGCATTATTTCACCAACTGGAAGATCCTTATAAAGAAAAATCTAGTACAATATGTTGGGTGTGATGACTGCATGTTAAAAAAAAAAAAAAGAAGCTGTATAAAGGAATTATGTGGCTCCACAGGAAGCTGTGTAAAATCTGATGAATTGCCTCAATCTCACTTGAGTAAGTGTTGAACGAGTGTCAATACTACAGCACTGAAAACAAAACAATCTGGGGGCATAGAGTTACAAAGCGCTTACCAGACCTCTGCCACAGACTGGTAGCACCAAGCTGCTGTAGCTGCCACTAGAATAACACACCTGAATCTCCAACCAAACTGTTGTGGTTGAGTTACATTGTGGGTAATATAGGCACCAGGTGTTGAAGATGAATGTTTGGAATAATTAAAGACGACATTCCTGGTTCTGTTGCAGCAACGTTGTAGGAGCACAACGTTAGAGGAGTGGAGCACTCTTAATACAAAAATGATCCAGAGATTCATGCAGTCTGGTGCTTCAATAAGAATAAAACTATTACAAAAAGAAACAGCTCCTTAAAAGAGTATGCATTCCAGAGGTCATAGTTCACTAAACCATATTATGTCTGCATGAGCAGATGCAGCTTCTGATGGATGATTTCAGAGTTCAGGGTCCACAGAAACTCTGTCAGTCCCCCAGTGAGCAGCTCATCCATGGGAACAAACTGCAGCACCTGTCTGTCTGTCTCATTTTTACTCACGTTGTCCTCTCCTTTTAACAACTTGCTCATACAGTTATGCACGTCAGTGAGAAAAGGGAGTATTCGGGCTGCAGGTTTAGGGCAGAAGCCAATACACACAAGCACTGCTCCGACCATGCCAGTAGGGGGTGGACACCTGAACGTGACCGACCGAAAACACACATGCAGGCAGAGCACAACAGCTGCTGTGACACGAGTGAGAGCAGAGAACACCGGCAGCAGTAGGGCATCCCCAGAGTTCAGGCTCTGCAGGGAAAGCACAACACAAGCTAAAAGCTGCTGCTGGTACAGCGGCTCCCCATCGTGCAGAGTGATGCCCTGTCTTTGAGGAGGTGAAGGCTCTACCGAAAATGTTAAGACTAAATCTTCAATTTGGCTCTCAGAGGTACCCCACACCGAGTGGCTCCCAAACACCAGACACTGTCTCTTGTTTTTGTTCCCATCACTGTGGCCTTTTGAGACACAAATACCTGCAACATCTGACAAGATGGAGGCCGTGCAAACCACATGGCATGAGCCACAGGGAGGCACATGGGTCCAGTCTACTACTGTATCCATCAGCGCTTCATTTAAGTGGTTTAACAGTCCTCCTTCACAGAATGGAGAGTTTCTGAGTGCAGGAAGTGCAGCACCGATGAGAATGTACCATGAATCTACATGACACTCAGACAGGAGTCCTTCCAGCACGCAGCCTGTCCCACCAGCGTCAGTGCAGTGTCTCTGTATCCAGGCAGCATGACAACCCCGTTCAATGCGCTCCCTCCAGCTCAGGGTCTGCAGTTCCCTCCGCTCATTGAAAGAGCCCATCTGCTTCTTCTGTCCCAGAGATTGGCCTGCAGAGACGCTGCAGCAGGCGGGAGTCACCGTATGACGAGAGATCCATTGGCTCAGTGGAAGAAAGCTCACCTACAGAGAGACAAGTTCACATTTCAACTTTCTAAAATCTTTTGTTTGCTACAGTGAAACCTGAGACCAATGTTGGATTTTAAATGAGAACAAAAAGTGCATATGTCAGAATATATAATCCCTTATAAATACAGTTTATATAAAATCATTTTAAATTGATTAATTGAGGATTACTAAGACTCACAATGAGTTACATATACTTTTACTTCCATGAAAACTATCTGCAACTCTACTGTGTCCTACCAAACAGGAATGAACAATTCAGTATTTTGTGCAGATGAACAAATTTGTCAGTTAGTTAAAGATAAAAAACTAACCTGTTCACAATCTTGGTAACAGTTTAAGACATCTGCCAAGCACAGACACAACACATACTACTTACAGCTTCTTAAATGTTGCTTTTTGTCTCCTTAAAATGATTAAAAACTGAATAACCTTCAGAAACTATTCAGCCCTTTTTGGTTTAAGCACATTCAAGGGCTTGGTCCGACTGATTCATTTCTTCCCATGTTTTTGCAAAGACCTTTATAAAAAATAAGCTTCAGCCTTTTCTAAACTTAATTAAAATGGATTTGCCAACAATCTATAAGGGTTCATGAGTAAAAATAGTTTTCATTGAGGACAAACGGTGGATTTGTTTTTTGATTAGGGGTATATGTCTAGACTTTGGTCTGTTTGGGCAAATGTTAACATCATGGTGGTGCAAGAGGAAAAGACAGGGAATGACAAGTCTTTGATCAGGGGACCATGAATGTCTGGACACAATTTCTTGGTAGTCTATCTAATAGCTGGTGAGATATTTTTTCATACAGGTCTCTAGTTTTAAGTACTCTATTTTTATCCCTATTTATCTCATTTCTTTGTTGTCTGCATTGTTTACTGTCTGTTTATACTGCTTGTTCTGCATTGTTTGCACCATTTGTTGCTGTCAATGCTACTGTTAATACTGCTTATTTAGTTATATTACACAGCCTTATGCTGGTTGAATGTTTGCATATTGTGAGCCGATGTACCAGAGTCAAATTCCTCGTGTGTGGGTCACACCTGGCCAATAAAACTGATTGATATTTTAGTATGGGTCAAAATGATGGCTTGAGCAACTGACACTGCCATCTTTTGAGCCATGCATGACCTTAGTGCTAACATGGACAAAAAGCCTTTAACGTACTGTACTGATCAAAACGTGGAAATTTGAACATCTACAATTCCATGCTGGGCAAACTCCATCTGCTAATGAAAACGAAGTGAAATAATTAGAACAGCTACTAAATGGACCCTTAGGTGAACTTGTCTGCTGGCTGATGTTTTAAAGATTAGGATTAAACTTTGAATCCCAGTGATATGACAACATTCATGGTCTACAGATATCATACCTGGAAGCGCTGCAGATATTCATGAGCAGTATAGTCCCTGATGCGGTCGAGCCGCTGCCTCTGTTCAAAGCTAATTTCTTCAAACAGTTGCAGGTTTTCTGTGATCGTCTCCACCTGCAGCATGTGAAAGTAGACACACACTTCTTCATGCTGTTTCAGAAACGACTCTGGGAGAAGTGAGTTTGGGATAAGCGCCTCTCGGTCAGCCAGATGTGGTCCATAATTACGAATCAGTTTTGACAGCAGAGGTCGTACAGCTTCCTTGCCCTCATAGTTCAGACACACAACATAAACTTCAGAGTTGCCTGCCTTGCTGGTGGCAGGTTTGAAGACGCTGACAGAGTGGAAACAGCAGTTCAGCAGATAGAGCAGGCACACAGAGGAGTGCTCATACAGTGTGAACATCTTCAGCACAAAGGAGCCACCAGGGCTCAGGAGCAGCAGCGCAGCTGTGACCTCACAAAAATGCAGTGATGCCACCAGCGCCTCCTGCTCATCTGGGTTCTCCTGACAGTCAAAGCTACCATCGGCTGTCACCATATCAACCCTATGCATGTTAGATACAAACTCCTGTAACTCCAGCAAGTGTTTCTGGACCATGATGTTTCCCGTGTTATCTGAGCCAAAGAACCACCAGGGCAGCGTGTTGGCAATTAACCGATCATCTGTGATGGTCATGTTCCCCCCATTAGCCTCATGATACGGGTTGAGAGTGTTGGCGGCCCAACTCCAATCACAGTAGCATGTGGACTGGTTGGTTTTGATATAGTGGTTCAGAGCAGTTATAAAGGCCCCTGGAGCTTCACACAGGTGGACTGTGTTCAGCTCTCCATTGTGAAGAGCCTCTTGTGGAAGAGGATTAAAGGTTCCCAAAATCTCATAAAACTTGCACCAGGCCTGAGTGCAGAGCTCCGCATTGGCAGCAGAACGTACGGCTGCGATCACCTTCCCAGCTCGATTGGTGGAGTTGGTGTGCTGATGCCAGACCTGGACATTCTTGTCACTGAGCTGGTTCTTTACGCCATTCAGTGACACCTTTAGGGCCTGTAGCCGGCAGTGCTCCTGTGGTGGGTGTCTAAGTACAACGTTAGGGTCAGGGATACGCCATTCCCTGCTGGACGGTTTCGCATAGGTTCTAACTTTACTAAAAAGATTTTTAATCTCAGTCAGTGTGTCAGGGTCTAGTACTGCCATACTGTCAAAAGGCTGCAGCTTGCCACTTTTCCTCCTGGTCCCAATGCCCAAGTTCATCATCCACACCTGCTGTAGGACAAAAACATAAAGAGTTAGATGTGCACAGATTTAAAAAAAAAAAAAAAAAAATCCACTTTCTGTTTTGATGTAATCCACCAGACTATTCAGTGTTATGTGACCTGCTTACAGTACAGGACATAGTTACAGGTCTTTACAGAAACAGCTTACAGAAAAAAAAGAACACATTACTCCAGTTCTACCTATTGTCTACAAGTCTCTCAATGGTTTGGGACTAAAATACATCAGAGCTATGTTTGCTGACTACAAGCCTGGTAGGCGTCTCAGATGTGCAGGGACTTGTCAGCTAGTGGTGCCCAGAGTTCTAAATAAAAATGAAAATGCTTTTAGCCATTATGCTGCCCACAGCTGGAACCAGCTTCCATTGGCTCTTTTAAAACTAAGCTAAAGACTGTATAATGTAGTGCAGTACAACACCACCTTTAACTATGACCCCAATAATAAAAAAAAGACATATAGATTCACTTTATACATTTATGACAATTTCACCAAAAAAACATTATGAGCTTCATAAACACAGATATTAAGGCGGAAGTGTTGCACTGAATTGCATACAACTATACAGGTGTAGCTAATAAAGCGGTCGGCGAGTGTAACGTTATGATACAGGTTACACAAACTGTTCCAACACCAACATTTACTCGCAGCGGGAGCTGAATGGGACGTTTCCTATAGCGCGGTGAACAACAACTTTACTGACACACCGAGCTGATTAAATGTTTCCCGCAGCATGTCCCTGTCCCAGTGTACAACCTACCGAACTGCTTGTCGATATAACAGACGCAAAAAGCCTGAAAACTCTCACCAGACTGCAACTTCAACCCGGAAATAGAACCACGATTCACGTGACTTAGAACAAAACTGCGCATGCGTATATAAAAAAGTCGGTCACTTTTAAAGGAGTATGTCACTTAAGCAAACCAATTACAAAAAATCAGTAAAGATTCATGTGCAAGGAGAATCTATTTTAATTACATCCTCCTAAATAATGTAAAACTATTGAGCTTTAAGGTTCATTCTACATTAATATTCTTAATGTATTCATTTTACATTTATGTTATCATTATTATTAGGCATCATTATTTACTTTCCCTTTATTTAGTATTTTACATTCATATGCAAAACAACATTAGCACTGATAGTTTCCATATCCTACAGGATATATGGCTTAATGGATTGGTATGGTGCTATTATTTTGTGACAAATGACAATTTATACACCAAAATAAGAGAATTACTAAATGGAGCATTCTAATTTTCAGTTTGCTGGTGAATTCAGGTGAATTTTAATCTCTGGCTGCTCAGCAAACTGTGGCCTTTATTCTTCCAGACTTGCCTGTGTGTACTTCTTTGGAGGCAGATTATTCATGGTGAACTGATCTGTGTCATCATGTTATATAAGTATTAAACATCTCTGGACTGTGAACAGATGAAAACTGACCTTTGAAATACATGCAGGGTGTTTTCATACGTTTGAATGGGCTTTTCATTCTGATTATGCAACAATAATTCAGGCATCAAAAAGAAATATATGACTGAGTAAAAACAGGATGTTCACAGTAGGAGTCTCATTCATATATAATGAAACAATTCATGTATGCATTGTGGAGTTATCTTTTTATTTATCTCTTAATGTTCCTAGAGCTCTGTCCAAATGCAGTTTTACACTGTGTCAGGTGGAGGAAGAAGTGAGGAGGAGGAGTGCAGGGAATGCAGCTGAGAGTTCTGTATGAATGAAGCTACTGTATGCATACCTTATGTGATGAAAATCCATCCATCCATCCATTAACTAAGTCACAAAGGGCCTGGAGCCAATCCTGGTTGACAATGGGCAAGAGGCGCAGTAGGCCTACACTCTGGATAGGTCACCAGTCTATCACAGGGCTGACACATAGAGACAGACAACCACTCACACCCACATTCACATCTATGGGCAATTTAGAGTCACCATTTAACTTAACCTGCATGCCTTTAGACTGTAGGAGGAAGATGGAATACCTGGAGAAAACTCACGTAAGCACAGGAAGGACATGCAAACGGAGGAAGATGGAATACCTGGAGAAAACCCACGTAAGCACAGGAAGGCCATGCAAAAAAGGAGTCTACAAGGTTCAAACCCAGAACCTTCATCGCTATAAAAAAAACCTGTTTGTTGTCACAATCAACTCATCATGTTTTAAGAACATGCTGCAGCTTTAAACCAAGTGCTGTGCATTAAAGAATAGTTGTACACTGACAGATGGAGCTCTCAAGCATGTCCAAATACATTAGTGATACTTCGACTATTTTACAACAAATACTAGTGTGCAGTGGTGAACATGGTAATTAGATCTTTTACTTAAGTTGAAGTACCAATACCACAGTGGGGAAATGCTCTGTTACAAGTAAAAGTCCTGCATTCAAATTTCTAGTTACATTTCACTTATTGTATCTTAATCAATAATAGTACATTATAATTAATTTGCTGTACGTTATATTTTGTAATATTAATCTGAATCTGTAAAATAACTAGCTAGGTAAACATAGCATAGTAGAAAGTATAATGTATAATGTTTCGCCTCTGAAATGCAGTGGAGTAGATATGCTGAAGTAAATTTACTTTCCACCACTTATGGTGGGAAGTTAAACAATGGCTTCTATTTTGAAGATGTGCAGAGTCAAATAAAAAAATGAAAGTAAATAATTTAATAAATTCTTAAACAGAAAGAAATGCTTAAACTCAGCCCTTAGGCGACAAGGAAAGCTCTACTGAGTTTACAATGCTCAAATTAGATTTAACAACATAGTGCATATATCCCAACTGACATTAAAAAGACTGGGGTTTTAAAGGTCATATGTGACTATGACAAAAATTAAATGTGCTCTGCAAATGCAAAGGGAAACAGATCTATCAGTTCTCTGTGATGTAACATCCCTAAAGGGCAGCCACTCTGCAGTTCCTTCAAGCATTAAGCTTATTCTGGTCTCCACTAACAAACCAACTGTGAATCGGCAACACAGGCGTTCTTCACACTAAATGTAGTTTTCTTAAAAACATTGTATTGAATTTCCAACAACAGGAACAAATGACAGCAGATAAAAATTACAGCAGGCCTTCAGCCTTAAATAGTGAGAAAAATATGTGCCACTTGGACATAGTGTACAAATTACACGAGTCTAATTGACACAATATGCAAACACAAAAACATGGACACATTATTGCAAAGACAGAAAGCGGCCACCAAGCCACTGTGCAGAACAGATTTAAAAAGGTGTAATTAATTGTAAATTAATCACAAGTTAACTATGAACAATCATGCAATTAACTGCCATTAAAATATTTTAATCGCTTGTCAATACTAATAATTATACAGTTTAATGTTATTTTATTCTTGTTTTTTTTTACATAACATACAGTATTTTGTCTTTAAATAAAAAAACTTAACTATGTAGTACAGTACAGAAACTGTTACTACATTTAAAGGCTGTGGTTTAAAGGAAAAAACAGTAGTGCGTTTTTAGTATCAGACATAGCGTTTAGTGTTATCCTCCTGTTCTGCTGCAATCACACATAAAAAGTTCATCTGAGTTCACTGGCACTGCAGGGATTATCCTGCAGAGCTCAGCTCTGGGGGAAAAGCACAGCACTTCAATAAAGGCTGAGCAGCAGAGTGATGGACACATCATGATGACCTCAGTCTGTTGGTTGTAACCTTTACACATAGAAAACAAGGTCATGCATGCACAGTACCTTTACCCGTACTTTGTAAGTCACTAGCAGTCATAGCAGTGAAACAAAAACACCCTTTTTTACTTTTTTGTATGGAAAACTGCCAGTTATCTGCAAATTAATTAGGAGCTAAATCTTCTCTTTTTTATTCTGAATACACACACACAGCAACAGAGATAGCATGAGGCCATTTGTTTTCATTTTTTGCTGATGCTCTTATCAGGAACAATTCAACATTTAAAGCAATGCTGACACAAATTGCCATTTCATTAATTAGCACAGCAAGAAGCCATTACAAGTAATCATTCATTAACAAAGTGGCTACAACGAACAGCATAATAATGAGAACTGGAAATTATTTTTCAGAAGCTGATGACAATGAAAAGATAATCTAATGCAGGGAGTAACTGATGGGGGTGACTGTGGATCAGTGGGTAGAGCAGTCGTCTCCCAATGGGAGGGTCGGCAGTTCGAATCTCAGTGCCTGCAGTCCACGTGTCAAAGTGTTCTTGGACAAGACACGTATAGAACCGAGGCGCTGCAGATGGCTCTTTGTGCGTAACATACTTGGCCAAATAAAGGTGATTAACCTTATTTTCTCACTAGCGAATGCAACATTGGTCATTCAATTTTTCGACCACTTTGGTCCAGACTGAGATATCTCACCGACTACAGAGGGATTGAAAAAATAAGTTGGACTGACATATAATGTGCACAGAGGATGACTGTACCTGCAGCGCCAGCACGATTGTGACATTTGTAGTTTTGAGTGAAATGTTTCAATAACTATTGGAAACTTGGTTCACACATTCAGTGAAATGTTTCAATAACTATTGGAAATTTGGTTCACACATTCATGTTCCAAAAAGGGTAACATCTAACTAATTAATCCTCCAGTGTCACCACCAGGTCAAAATCTCAATTTCCAATTTTTCTTCTAATTTTATTCTTTGGTGTATGGCCAAATACAGTAGCTGCTAATCTAATGACCGTCCCTCAGCTATTAAATATAAAAAGTGTTACATTCAGATTACACGCTGAAATGAACCGAAAATTTTTTCATTTAATTTTATTTGGTTTTTTGTTACCAAAAGCCAGGTTTTATTTATTTATTTCCTCAAATGACTCAGATCAGTAATGTGTGACCAAACCAATTCGGATTTTTATATATCAGATATGGGCCACTTTCATAAGTGGTCCTAGATTTGATTCATATCCGATCTCTGACTGTGCTTCCAGTGACAGAATAATGACATCGCAATTCTTTTGTCTTGTTTTTTGTTTTTTAAAGTTGGTCCTCTTGGACTGTCATTCTGCCTCTGGTTCTGTCTGCTCTGTCCTGCTCTGTTTTTTCAGTATTGATACCTAACTGTTAAACTTAACCTGCAGCCTGCCTGTCCATCTGTGGTCTGCATTTTGGTCCAATTCCCAAGTTCCTGTTTCTTTTATCACAGTTAGTACACTAACTTGCTAAACTAATGCTAAACATCAGCATGTTACCATTGTCACTGAAAGCATGCTGGCATGCTAATGTTAGCATTTAGCATATAGCACTGCTATGCCTAGTTTAATCACAGAGACACTATCAAAGTATAATTTTTGTTTTTGTTATGGAATGAAACATGGTTGTTCTGTAGTCATAACCAAGACAGGTAGATGTTTTTTTTTCATGCATAAAAGTTTTAAATGCATTAAATAAACAAAGACCTTGGTTGTGGAATGCTAGTTGTATTTCCCAGGACTGTTCAGATATCTTTACTAAACTGTGGGTCATTTTGTCCATCAGTGGGATTCAAGAAGGAGTTTGTGTGATTTCCAGTTCTTTTTTTCTGGCTGCAATTAGTGGATTTAGTCATTTGGCCAGTAGTTAAAAATATAATCCCAGGGGCTCAATACAAGTAGAGTCTCACAATTAAAGGTTTTCCCTTAAGGACATTAATGCTGCACAAGACAGAGAAAAACCCTGTTACATTAAATGTTGATGAGAAACTGTAGTGTGTTTCTGGTTAGTTGGTCTATTTTTGAATGAATTCCTGATTCTGTCTTCTGTGTTTTCAGACAGATAAGTTTGCTTTATTTCTATGAAGTTAGCATGGCTGCTCTGTTGCTTTAGCCAGATCCCCCCAGGCACAGATATGGTATTATTTTCTGGATTTACTGTAAATCATTACAGCTATGTGTGAGCATGTGCATGCTTGCAGGGAGTGGACCATAACTCCACTGTGCTTAAAGTCAATAAACAATCAACTGTGACATTTAGCATACCTCAGCCATACACGCTGTACTCAATGAAAGCTGCAAATTTACACCACTTAAGTTATATGATTCGGGTCGTGTGGAGGTCAGTGAGAAAAAACTTCATTCTTTTTATCAACTGGTATATGTACACATGCGCTTCAAGGACAATGGGTCCATCTGTTTGTAACAAAAATCGAGATTCAGACAGTGTTTTTCTCTTATCTGTTGCCAATGTACAGTTTTACATAGGTATATGAATGGATAAATACACAAAAAAATAAATACATTTCATAATGGTGCAATACTGCCCCCTGGTAGTGATATACAAATGAAGACATTAACTGGCAATGTAAAGTATTTAAGGTGTATTAATGGTACAGTACAGCAAAGAAATTACAAATATTTACACATAAATATTTTTTATTCACATACAAATATGTTTATCACTTAATAAAATAGTTAACTATAAATCCATTCAAATCCAATATGTATGTGTCACAAATGAAAACATTATATTCTCATAGTCAGTATATTTTATTTCAAGGCCACAGACAACCAAAACAGGATCCAATGTACAACTAAAAGCACCACAATGAGGAGCTGCCACAAATACTGGTGATATAGTGGTGAAACTCAGAATGCGTGAAAAACTTGCATGACAGCGATGGTTGTACTCTGTCCAAAGACGAAGGCTCCGACTACAATGGTTATGACTCCCCAGACTGTTAAAATCACCCTACACGGGATACAAATAGAATCAACAACAACAAATAGTATGAATATTCTGCCAAACAGACATCCTTCATCATCCTTTCCTTTATTCAAAACTGATATCTACTCTGGAGCCCTTAAGCTTTTTCTTGTAGGACTTTTATTTTCTACATGTCTGTGCAGATTCTCAGTCATCCAGGTCATAGTAAACTGAAAAAACTTAGAAAAAAATCAACTGGACTTAAATTTCTAGGAAGAGGCCCAACACCAACGGAGAGAAACCAGAAACAAGAGGGATAACACTGTCATCCCTTATGTGGCTGGTTTGTCAGAGAAGTTAAAAAGGATATTTCGCAACCACAATATCCTAGTCAACTTTAAGCCAGGGAACACCCTGCGGCAAAGACTGGTCCACCCGAAGGACAAAACACCCAGAAACAAACAGAGTGATGAAGTGTAGTCAGGAGTGTAATGACTTGTACGTTTGTGAAACTAAGCAGCCGCTGCACAAGCGCATGGCCCAACACAT